TGACTGAAGTCAGAGCTTTCTATTTTACAACAAATACATAAATTAAAATGTTTAAAGTATTCATACCCTGGTATTTTCTTTGTTTTGTTGCCTTACAAGCTAAAATGAGAGCAAAAGAAAGTATGGAGGCAGGGGAATGTTTTAGTTTTAAAATGACCTGGATTTTTTTTTTTTTTTTGATCTGGTATAAGTGTTAACTGTTTCCTGTCCTTCATCCAGGTGTCATATGTGAAAGCGGTGGACATCTACATGTGGACCAGCTTCCTGTTTGTCTTCCTGTCTGTCATTGAATATGCAGCTGTGAACTACTGCACCACTCTGGAGGAGATGAGAAAGATGAGGAAGGGGAAGGTCAGCACACTCAACAAACATGGTTATTAGAAAACCTACTAGAAAACTTAGTTTTCATTAAAAACCGTTGTGTGAATGCAGAGTTCAATGATGGCTGAATTTTGTTGAGCAAACAGAAACTGAAATATTAAAATGTTAAAATGTTTAAACTTTAGAATTAGCCATCTGACACAGCTGAAATATAAAATAATAAACCGTATCTAAAAGTTTAGAAAAGCTAATTAAAAACAGTCAGGTTAACAGTATGTAATGGACTAAAACAACATAGCTAAAAGCTAAAATGAGCAAAATAATAACTGAGATTTAGTTATTACAAAATAGCTAAATGTTAAAGTTAGTAAAGCTTTAGCTATAAGCTAGGATTAACACATTACTAAATGTTAGGATTACCAAAACTGTAAAGTTAGCTAAACTTACCTAAATTTAAAATCAGAACAAAATAAGATATTCTCTGAAATAGCTAACTCAAATCTGCATTACATTAGCTAAAATTTAAAAATGACAAATTTAAAGGCTAAAGTTAGCAAAGCAATAGCTAAATCTATTACTAAAGTCGCTAAAAATAACATTAACATAATTGTACTAAATGCTAAGATTAGCAAACCAGTAAAGCTAAAGTTGTTCAAGCATTTGCTAAAAAATGGATTTAAATAAATAAATAAATAAATAAATAAATAAATAAATAAATAAATAAATAAATAAAT